AGCCCATTGTGTAGCTTTGTGCATAAATTACAAACAAACAAACAAGCTTACTAAACAGCTATATTTAACTACAAAAATTGGCATGACTGGTATTTTTATATCCCTTATGTTATACTTGGTTATTTATGTGTGGATTCACGATAATTTTGATACGAGTAAAGTTTGTGGGGGGGTACGTCTCCGCGACTACCATAAAGATACTTATGCAGGTATAGATATACCAGTCTGTCTGATACATTAACTTTCATTTCACTTGAAAAATAATTTTACTGTTTTGTCTAAATGCTAATTATGCCAAAAGCCTCTCCCTGAAATTCGACAGGTGGCGCTCATAATAGACTGGGTGGTAAAGTTGTTCACTAACTATGAATTTGCATCTGGAAAGGGAAGTCGTTTCGGTCCCCTGGCCAACTCACTGCGAAACAAAGAATTGCCCTTGTTAGATGAAGTAATTTCCTTCCCTGTCATTCATGCAAACTTCTGCCAAACAAACCAGTAGTTATGTAGGCTTATCAAGAAATCTTTACATACTTGCTATGCACACACAAAGAAAATGACAGCGTACGATCAGACTAATTTTATTTTATTGTTCTAAAAACACTTCAATTTTAGAATTTAAAAAAATCTAAAAACTTTTGTTAAATTACCCAGTCCTGTTCAGTCACCCGTTTCTTTTTTAAACTCTAATAGGAATAGATGTATTTGTTTAATGTTAAACTGATGCGCTATAGAGGGAACGCAGCTAGTCAACAGCGCCTATCGGCCAGTTTATGATTTAATCTTAAGAGGTAACTGTGAAACATAGGATAAGAATTACTTGGTAAATAGTATCTAGTGAGAATAATACAAAAAACAAAAACATCACTAATTATTAGGTAATTTATTTGTTGTTATGTGCAATGGACTATCTGTGCTCTAACCGCCACAGGTATTGGGATCGGATTTTTAGCGTTATAAGACCCCAGACTCACTACTGAGCCATCGGGGGACTATATAATAATTAGACTTAAGTGATAATACTAATTACGACAACCGTGCATTCTAATAACAGGACACGTGATGCATACACATAATTAATGAAATATTAATTTTTAAAAGGTTTTCTTAAAGTCCTTCTTAGGTCCTAGCATGATTTTGTGGCTAAGGGATCACGGGTTCAAATCTCGTCCCCGAATATGCTTGCCCTTTCAGCTTTGGTTGACGCTCAATCCCACTTTTCGTTGGTAAAGAGTAGCACAAGAGTTGGCGGCGGGTGGTGTTGACTAGCTGCTTTCATTTTAGTCTATCACTGCTAAATTAGAGTCGGATATTGCAGATGGCGCTCGGGTAGCTTTTCGCAAAACTCAGTAAACAGACAAAGTGCAAATCAAAAGATTATATCGGAAAATCACATCGGTTGGGAAAAACTAGTTAATTGGAATGTGGGGGAGGTGGGTTGGATGAACGCAAATAAATTGTTATTAATAAAGCCCAGTCAAACTGGACTCTTGTAACTAGTGAAATGCTTCAGGGGTCCGTGATTAGGCCTTTGATGTTTATTATTTACATTAACGATATTGATAAGGAATAATTAGCA